AGTTTATGAGACTGTAGTGTTTGGAAGCCTTCTTGGATATTCTAATAACTCTTTCCACTGCTAACAAACACACAGCTCCTCAGTCAGTATGGTCAGCAGTAGATAAAACAATGTCATGGGAAATCAAGGGGTATGCATTGCAATCCTACAGTGTATAAACTTCCTCAGTCAAGTTGCTGTTCCAAGACCTTGGAAGAAAGAAAATTATCTTCTAACCATTTGTAGTGAAAAAGTCACAGTAGAAAAATCCCAATTTATGTCACGTTACATGCTTGAACCAGCAGTGAAAATGGAAATTCGTGGGATCATGTATGTCCAGATCAATGGAGCTCCACTATATTGTTTTGCAACAAGATTTTGCTTATCTTCTGATATCTCACATGTCAGGTGACAACAGCAAAGGAAGCACAAAAGGTATGGAAAACCTTCCAATATTTTTTAAGCAGAGAATCTCACAGAGCCCTCTGTATCAGTTAAGATGATTTTAAAACAGTCAAGCTGTTCCAGTTATAGATAATATAAAATGCCTTTTTATTATAAGAATTACTGATTTTTTTAGATTACTTATGGACTTACCCTGATTTTCTCCATGCAGAAATCTAAAAGACTATTAGGTTCCTTCTAGGCTCAAAGTAAATTTCTTTCCACCCATGCAAATCTCATTTTTATTAAAGAAAATATTCAATTAACCTCAAATATTCAGCATACTCAAATCTAATTAGACATGAATAAGAGATGCAGCAAAGCCATAGTAAACACACATGCAGATTTCATTACTATTATCTTACTGGCTTCTCAACTGGCTTTATCAAAAAGCAGACTCATTAAGTTTTTTCTCGCCTGTATGTAAAGCTAATCTTGAGTAGAAATTAGATGACCAATCACCTAAGCAAACCTCTGCAAATAACAACCATATTAGTATTATGCCACAGGATACAATCCTGAAGCAATTAAGAGCAAAAAACACCTTTTGATACTGATTTGTTAGGATATTTGGAAGTTTAAACAGTTCTACAATTGATACTTAAGCAGCAAATAGAAAAATCAAAGTTATGAAGCCAGGTTATGACTAACAGAAATAATACAACATAGCATTACTAGATTGGAAAGCCTTATGAATCACATTCTCTGCAATACAATAGCACAACATTATTTTCAAATATCACAGGTTGAAATGTATTGAAGTTTCGTAATTGTCTTAAAAGTCTGAAATTTTATTCTCTATTCATCATAATTTTGCTGTATTTTGCTAGTTTAACTTTGCAGAGTAAATATGTAGAAAATTAATACTATGCTTGCACCATACCTAGAAATCAGAATATTGTGTAAGAATTTTATATCTTCTGAAGGCTTATTATAATCAAAGCAATGAGAATTCAAGATGCAAGAGAAATCAAAACTGTTAAAAGCTTTTATTGGCTTATGTTATTATTTCAATGATGTTTTAATACAATTATTTCAGTTACATCTGCCTACCTAGAACTTTTAGAAGTGTTTACAGAAGCTAGCAAGATGAATATTGTTCAGCTCATAAAAAGTTATTATTTATGTAATCTGTTATTTAGTAACTGATGCCACAAATCCCATTTGTTGGAATGGGAGCAGCCTCAGCAAATGAAAGACATTGCAGCACTATTAGTTTTTGTGGTTTTGTTTTTCTTCTCTAAAGCCTTACAAAGATCACCATCCTCAGACTCATAAAAACTAACAATTGTGCCCTGTCCTCTACTGTCCCTCTCAAATGGGCAGTCCCATTACAGCAACAGTTGATGATCATTGTCTAGGAGGGATTTGAGTCTTCAACTACAGGATAATCCGATAGTTTATAAGTATAAAGAGGATCTAAACAAGTGAATTCTTTGGCAAGTCATTCTAAAATCAGGTTTGTAGATGGTACCAATTTTAAAGTTCTGACTATGACTCCACTTTTGCAAAGCTGCTTTTACAAAATTATTTTTAAAAGAATGTTTAAATTGAAGGTCAGTGGAATGGTTTGTCACAAATAGCAAACTGATTCACCTGCTCCAGGATACTCTCAGATAAAAGTCCAAGACAACTTGAAGCACTTAGACTGAATCTTAAATGAAACAGACTTTAACAGAAAAAAAAGTTAGTCAATAATTGAAATACTATGAAAGAGCAGGGAAAATATTTAACAACAGAATTATCAATTACTAGAATAAGTCTACGTATGCTATAATATATAATTGTATATTGACATAAACTACCTTCAAATGTTCATTTGAGACTAGCACGTGCAACATGCAGGATTAAGTATAATGAAGTAAATAGCAATGTATTAGTATTAAATATGGATGAATAACTTCCCATTTTAAAAACTGATTAGAGGAACATTGAGTATTCGCAAGTGGTGATCGAGTCCAATTACAAATTTTCTCTTTCCAAATGTATTTTAGTTGTATATGGTTGATGTTTTTCTTTTGCTGTATCATCATGCACCAATAGAAAAATTAGTTCATGATGCTATTTTAAAAAGAATACATATATTTATGTATAGCCTAATTTTAAAATGTGCTCCCATCATATTTAAATTTATTGTAATGCTACCATTTCTTCCACAAGCCTACTTCAGTATTCCATTTCATAGTTGACAACTGCATCCTTACCTCATTTCTTAAAAACCACCACTAATATTTCCCAAAATATTTGGAAAAAAGACGAATAGTACATAGATAAATGCAAATACAATGTACAGGAAATAGGCTTTATTGCAGGCATTTTCATAAGACAGAACTTAAGAGAAGAAACACGCCTGCTCAGGAGTACATCCCACTCACCAGTGCTACACTTACAGTGACTCCTCTGACCACCTGTTGGTTTGGGAAGTGACAGTGGGGTGTCCTCTGCAAGGAAATAATTTCATCTGCATTCAACACACAGCTGCTGGATTGTTTCATCTGAAGTAATTCGTAACTCAGTATGACCAAGTGATGTAATTTTAATCCAGATCTTTTCAACTTCCTATTTAAAAACTGAACACTAACATAATACAAATTATTTTGTGTTTCTTGAAGTGTTAACACAAAACAAACCCACAGCCCTGTAAGTCACGGGCTGCTTTGCACGATTAACACTGATTGATTGATTTTGACACAGACACAACGAGAATGTAAAGCCCCAGGATTTGCAATTTAATAATATTGTTGCAACAGCTACTGATACACATTCAGTGTTTAAAATATTTTTGCATTAGTCAGAGTCTTCTTGGGAAGATTAGGTTAAAGTCATCCTTATGTACAAATGCTATCTGAACCACTAATTTTAGTTGCCATTATTTTTAGCTACACAGCAAAGTGATCCTGTAACTGTTTGAAATAGTTTCAGTGACATCAGGTATCCAAGTTTTCCAAATGAAAGAGAATTCTTAGTGCCTCTTGCAGACTATACCAGGAACAGCTAATAAAAATCCATCAAGTCCCAAAATATCTAGGCATGTAGAGTAACACTGTATCTACATGGAATTCAAATTCATACACTGAACTTGCCTACTTAAATCAAACATACCTTTAAAAGTTAAAATTAGCAATAGCATAATAAAAGTAATACCCCAATTGTTCTTCACCAGAGCCTTTTCTTGTTATCTTTAACCAAACTCACATTTTTTTCTTCCTTGTAAAATTGTTTCATTGTGTTTGGCAAGGCCAGTAGTATTGTGTACAGATAAATTGTAATCAGCTTTATGTATTTAAGTGTGAATGTCAGACTCAACAGAAAGAGTCACAAGTATTTCCTTAGGTAACTGCAATTTGAAGAAAGAAAAGCCACTATGGGTTCCAAATTGGAGCACTGAAAGATGACATTCTTCAAAGAGCAAACAGAATACGTTGGAGTACAGAAATGTCAAAAATATTTTTTTTTTACTTCTTTCATTTCTTTTCAAGTTCATAACTTTATTAAAAATATTTCCCCTATGTGGAAATATTTTGACAATTTTTGATTGTAAACTTAAATCACTTTAAGTACTAAATCATATTCAAAAGATTAGCTTTCTAGATTTAGTGTTTGAACTGCAAGTCAATATTCTAATTTATTATGGAGATAGCTTACATTTTTCCAAGCAAATTACATAATTAATCAAACTGAAAAGGAGGTGTATCCTATTGTAAAAATATCCATCATATAGAACAATTTCCATTGCTGTCAAGTCCTTTCAATATTTGATGAACTAATTTTACCCCCTCTTTTCAAAAGACATTTCCTTTTATTATGTATCCTAAGACACTTTAACTAAAAACCCAAATCTGAATATTTCAATAAGGTTGTTTTATTATTCAGTAGATTCATGGAAATTTTACTAGGATGACAGAAAAAATTCCACACCATTCTGTCTCCACTAATACAGGTACATGGCTTCAGCTGGCAATATTACTGGGATTAGCATAGAATGATGAAATATTTAAAGGAATTTTTTTTTCTAAAATCTAATAAATCAAATGACTGCCAAATGTCATTAAAGTGATGGTCTCTGACTTGAATATGCTTTTCATATTCAAATTTGAAAAGAAAGAGATGAAAGCCTGGAAAGGTTACTCAGTTTCAACTAATAACCTCAAGCACTCTACATTCACATGCATAAAAAATGAAATTGGCTCTATTGTCTAATTTTACTTCAGAAACAACTCTTTTCTTCTTGCACTGAACAGATGTATTAGCATCTGTATTTAAAGGGATATGCTGAGTGGTTTTGTTCACCCCAAAGTATTTAGCAGCTATGTCAGACTAGTTTGTACACAGACAGTAGCTTATGAATCAAGTCCAAATACAATATCCTGTTTTATAAAGTATTCCTTTTACATATTTTAAGATTTGTTTGACATATTTAACACTTGTAATTGCATACAGTAGGCAAAGAATATTACACTTTTTCAAGGCTAATGGGGTAAATCCAGGTATTCTGCTTTCTAACTTATCATGAAGCAAATAACTGAGTCATACTATTAGAAAATTGCAAGAAAAAAAATTAATTTGGAGCTTAACAGTCAAGACTATTTTGAGTTTTATTAATGTTAAACACAAATACAGCATATACAAAGGAGAACACAGACTGGTTAAAAAAGGTATTTACAAATAAAAAATATAGAACTGCTGAAGAACAGCATAGCTAGCATGTCATATTTCACCACTAATACAAACCCCCTCATATTATGTAGCCAGGCTGAAAATACATATAGCATCCAACATATGATAGGAATTAATTTTTAAACAACTATTTATTTTTCTGTGATGCAGAGTGAAATATGTTATTTAAATCTTTTCCTAAGTTTTTTTTTTAAGCCTTGGTCTCATTTATTAGGCACTATTCAAGTGAACAATGGAGAATTTGTCAATTACTGCCCACAAATCATTCTATTTTAATGGGAATAAAATTATTCTTTACATTTAGAATTTAAAACAAGATATAATACAAAATTTCCTCAAAGAGAGAGAATGGGCACATATTAAAATAAAGACTATTAAATGCTTTCAAAGAATCTGAGAAACTGGTTCAGTGCTTTCATTTCAGGTGAGGGAAACAAAACATGGGCAAGATACTTAGTCTATGTCAGAATTCTTTCTCTGTCTTTTAATACCAACTCTGTAATTAGTGCTACCCAGAGATTTGGAAGAATAACTGAACTCCAACAAGCTTCAGGATTTGGATAAGCACTAAACGCATTGGACATTTCGTACAAAATTTACATCTCAACTTTTCTCATCTGTCTGAGATTAAGAAACCCTTTTATTAATTCCACAGTCAGTCTTGACTGCCACCTTCAAGAAGCTGTATATTCCATATTTTCATTTCCTTTTTGGTCACACTAAAAGGCTACGACTTTGATGTGAAAAATAAGATTCCAGCTGACACAAATGTTACACAATAGCATCCCACAGAAATAAGTGCTTTCTGCACAGAACAGCAGAGCTGAAAATACCTTGCTTATAGGAACAATGTTCCTATTTTTTACATCCACAGTTGTAACTAATATATGGCCCTTGAAAAACTTAAAATAAAGGGAACATCTAAACTGTAAGACAACTTGAATCCTATATTGAAAAATGGTCAAAAATACGTACACTTTACTCCTCACATTTCATATATCTATTTCCACTTGTTTTCTTCTATTTCAGGTGGATAGCACAGAAGACAAACTACAAGCTATTCTCCAATAATCACAATTATTCATCCACTTACTATCAATACTTCAATCACTATCAATATTACTTGATTGACAAATATATTTACTGAACAACAAGCCATCCTCTTACTCTATCAAGTGCTAAATTTTTGTGATCATCTTATTAACAATGTCAGAACAGAACCACAAATGAATGCTATCACAGGAATGCCAATGTAACTCACGTGTTCAGAGACACAAACATTATTCATTAAGTAATTATGATTAACAGGCAACACAGAATCATATACACATAAAAATACATATTACAAAAAATTATTCTAGTTCTGTATGCACTGACTTTTCATGTTAGGAACAACATCTTCAACTTTTACCTTTTCCCCACAATGGTGTAGATGTGAGAACAGAAAGAGGGATGTGGAAATGCTCCCTGTTCCTTCTCCAAGTGGATGGGACTTCCTATAGTGCATCCACTTTGGACTCTCCCTAAGACCTGGGGCAAAGAGATGTCTCCTTGTTGAACAGCTCTTCTGGAGGTGAATCTACTGTGAGGGAGGGAAAGGCACATGTCATGTTCCCCTGCAACACTGTTCTGCCACGTGCCAGGAGGAGAACACAATAGCCCAAGGTCAGCACCATAATTAGGTTTGATGCAATCCCCTCAGCTCTGTCTAGAACTGAGAACACATTGAACTAAAAAAATCTATTTGTGACAATGAATACAACTCTGGTTGCTGCCATTTTATCCAGTGCAGAGTCCAAATTCCTCAATTTTTGAGTGCAGCTGTAGTGGAAGAAATATATCAAATTGCACATTTTTAATATAACTAGGTTTTTTTATTTACAGTTTTATTATTTAATATTTGATAATGTATCCCCCCCTCGCCATTACAGTATTGTGTGGGGACCATATAGACATTAAAAAATTAATCGAATTTGATTCTCATAATACTCAGTGTGAAAAAATTATGCTTGGTGATATAGACAACAAAACTAATAAAAATTAAAATTTATTTTCAAATGCTATCCTTTGATTTTTAAACTTCCAGTCAGAAAAATACTACTTTCTATTTGTAAAGTCACCATAACATACTGCCATGTCCATAGGCTCCGACAAACAGTATCTCCAGTAAGCAGCTGAGGATCATTCTTATTCATAACCACAAAAAAATTACCAGTGGGGTTAAAAATGACTCTTGCTGATGCTTTTCCTGTGGGCTTATGCATTCAGCCTTAAATCTGACTTTCTACTTAATTTCATATTCTAACTAATTAGTATTATTTGTTACCTAAAAAATAATGAGTCACCTAATGACTTAAGATTCTGTAGTTTTCAATCATTTTAAAAGTGGTTGTTTGGGTTTTTTGATATTACTTCACCCTTTTATTCCATTTCTTCCATCATGAAGAATGACTTTCAGTACATGCTTCCAACTACAACTTCAAAGTATATTTGACAAGGGGTAGATGGAAGTTGTAAATCCATCATTTCTGCACAGTGCCTACTCAAACTTCTGTCATTTCAAACTTTATCACTGGCAAAAGACAACTTAGGTATTGCCTGGATTCTTTAAACTTTCTCTCTTTTACTTTAGTTCCTGGACTATAGTGACCATAACACAAACAATCACCTCAATGATGGAGAATGGCAAATGCTCCTTTTTAATCTTAGACCCACTAGTACTCCTTGAAAGTACTGACTATAAAGTTTTAATAAGTTACTTGTATCTTATTCTGATAAGATGGTTCTGTTTCATGAATTTTATTTCTTGTTTTATTAAATATGCTGGTGGAGCACTTTTACTTCCCCAGTTTCTTACAGAAGAAAAGCACAAAGCAACTGGTTTTAGATAGGACTAGGAGGATACAAAGGATTAGTATTTCTGGCACAGCAGAATCAAGCCAACTCAGTAACACAAGGTAATACTAAAACTCTAAAATTTTAGTTCTCTAAATTCTCATTGGATTTTCACAAAACAAGCCAGTTTGAGGAAAATATTGAACACTCAAAAATCTCCCTGAAACAGACTAAAGGCAGTCAAGTCCTGCAGAAAATTAGCGTAAAGAGAAATCAAGTCAGCCAAAATTTAAAACTGCAATACAATGTCCAAATAATTTTCTTTTTTCCAATGAACAAGAGATATCACATAGGAGGAAATGCACTAGTCAAGCAGTCATACAAAAAAAGCATAATAAAAAGTATCTATTGCTTTGCTATACATAGGTTTTATACTTTACATCTTCTCACATTTGCACAAACAGGCTTCATTCACCAAGAGAATCATGGGCAATTGGTATTGTTCTTTAATGGTGTTTAAGAGGGATTTTCATGTCAAAACTAATTAGAACTTGAGATCTTAACTTACAGTTAGAGGTAAATGACAGTTATCAAAAAACTGCTATTAAAGCAACAGAATGCACTCACAGTAGCTGCACCGAAAAAGAGACCTATAGAAAATAACAGAACCAGCACTGAATAAATTGGTCTTGCCAGTAATTACCTCATGGCACATTTTAAGACAACTTGGAAGCTGACAGCAGTAAATTTTATTGTGATAACTGAATGCTGTATAATCTCCTGTAAGGATACAGTGTAGACATGGGGTTGAAAGGGAGGAGGGGATGGAAGAGAAAAGACTTTTTTTGTAATTTTTTTTTTTTTTTAATATAAAGACCATGCCAAAGAAAATGCAAATTCCCAGTTTTGATGTCTATTTTGAGGATCTGAAACAAGGCTTTTAATCAATGTATTATACATCAAATTGATAATGTTAACTTCTGATTATTCAAATGTATGAAATATTCATAGAGAACTGTCCAAACTTTTACATTTCTCAGACTTCTTTTCTCTATTAATTATCATGCCTGGAAGCTTTTTAGTAAAAGCAGCAGCCATCAGCCTGACTGAACCTGACAAGCTAGCAAGGCCCAATTACACTGGCACTCTGTGGCACTTTGATGTACTGGAAACGAAAAGAGATAGGGGCAAATTGTATAGCACATTATGTTAATGACTTGATTTAATCCAGCCACTAAACTTTATGTAGCCTGTTAAAAAAGATGCTAACACTAATTATGCCACTTTGGAAAGGAAAGAAGGGGACAAGCATTTCATACCGACAAAGTGAAGCTCATAAATGTTGTAAATGAAATGAAACAAAATGAAGTAATCTATGATTAATCATACATCATAGACAAGAAGAAAAGAGAAAGAAGCAAGTGGTACAGCTAAGTACTGGAAAATCTGTTAGATACCCTTTATGATCAACATATCTAAGAAATAACCATGAACTGTCTAATTTGCAACATGCAAAAAACCCCCAGTATGATCTTAAATGGCTTAAACAGTTTGGCATACAACTCAGATTTATAGGATAATTAGCATAACGATCTCTAAAAATCACAAGTCTTATTTACAGTGTTTGATTACCAGCAGGATATTTATCTCAAAAGATAAAAGGCAGTGATTTTTAATCTTAAAAAAATACAAATTCAATAACAATTTTGACATGCTGTATTCTAGAACTAACCCAAGAATTCAAATAAACCAAGGCATATTTTTAAAATCCAATTTGTATCAAACATGTTGTCTTAATAGTTTATAGCTTTTATTGTTTTATCTACCCTTTGTGAACATGCACTTTGTTACCAGAGGAAGAGATCAATGGAGAGAGGTAGAAACTGATGAACCTGAAATGAATCTACACACAAAAATCTCTCAGAAGTGTTCTTAAATAACTGTGATAAAATAAAATACAGGATGACTACAGAAGTATAGAACAAGTGTTTGACTTACTAGTGATGAGCAGCAGTCATTGTAAATGATTATTCTCAAAATTACAGGTGAAAATTTTTTATACAATGCAATTCTTTCTTCAAAAGTACCTTTTGTATCTTTCTGAAGAATATACAGGCGATAGCATTACTGAATCCCTTCTACAGCATAAAAAAGAAGGAGCAATATTTCCCATACAAAGAGTTGCTTCTTGTTGTTACTTGCTTTGTAAGATGTCTCAAGCCTTGAAAAAAAATTTTAAAAAAGTCAAACTACCTCTAGGATATCACATTGCAGAGCACTAAAAACCGTGAAGACTGATAGGATCTCACAGTACACCTCTAGTCCTTTAAAAGAAGGCTAAGACAGATGACAAAAGTATTAACTGTTAGAGGTACTAACATCAATTTTAAGCACTAGTTTCGTATTTTTTAAGATAGTTCAGTCAATGTTAGATCTAAAAGTAGGAAATATTTTCTTTTTTTTTTGGAATACTGTTCAAAGTAAATTTTCCAAATTTGTATTATGCTGTGTTATTTTGTATATATGACTTCATGCTAATTAATTACTGGTTTTAAGAGTAAGGGGACATCATTGGTGTACTTGTTCACAAATAATGATAGAAAAAGAAGTACAACTGAAGTGACTGGATACTGTACATGTACAACTTTATTGAAAAGTGATGTTAGATATAGCAAACCTATTATCAGAGGTCATTTCAGCTTAAAATCTTTTTCTGTCTTGCCAAATAATTGCCATGATCACTGATTCAGCTGTTTAATATTTGTGGATCTGGACTTGAAATAATACCATCATTGCTGTCAGTTTTTATTGATTCAACAGCATCCTCATCTTGTCTACCATCTTGATCTGAAAAAGAAACATTAAAAGAATCAATGTAATCACCCCCCCCCATATTGTAGTCCATCTGAGACCTGCTGAGGAATCTGATAACAATATATTTGCTTTTCTAATAAATGAAGAATAAGTGCCAGGTAAATCTTATCTTCCTGCAGAAGATTAACACTGCAAATCAATGACCTTTTGAATCATCTAAACTGTATTTTTTTCTGTTTAAAAAAAAAAAAAAAAAAAAAGTCTTTCCCAGATGAAAGTTAAGGATTGGAATGATGTAAGTCCTGTGATGAGATGAGGTACGAACAACTGTTAGTTTTACATAAGAACATGGCCTGAATTTCTGGATTTCCTCTGATTATGTTTAACACCATGCACATGTAGAGAAGAATGTATCCTTTTTTTTAATAAAAAAGTAGTTCTGTATGCAGCTGGATTATTGTCTAGAGCATTCAAGGTTTTTTCTCTGAAGCAAATTACTTAGCACAACAGGGATTCAGCATCATGTTTTCCCAATTTTTCTAATGAATTCTTATGCAGAAGCTGCAAGCAAATGAACATAAAATTTTAGCATTCTGGTTGTGCATTTACTTGGTATTGTGGACTTGGTTTATTTCAATGATAAACAGTCTAAGCTCAGAGGTGGAACAGGATGACCCAGCTCTTATAATCTTTAAATAAATCTGCCTCTAACAACTTTATGTCACAAATATGATAAGACATACTACCCCTCTCACTGTCTGAAAGGATTTCTGATATCAGCATTGGCTGTTATCTGCAGACAAAAGGAGCACATTCATTAAAACAGTCTTTAGAACAGCATAGTTCTAAGAGAGAATATAAAGACATTTAAAATAGAAGCCAGGTTTCCTTTAATATTTTATGAATCTAGGTCAGATACCAGATTTTTGCATTCAATTACAATACAGTTTCCATTTGGGAAGAAAATAACACCACCATATCCACCACCCAGTTTCAGCTATAAAGTACACCAGAATATAATTTCTGTCATGAAGCTTCTCATAATGAGGCAGCTCCTACTGCTAGTAAGAAATGCTTAAGAAAATGGAAAGAGACATAAAATTATTAAGAAAATACAGTCACTTATTCATAAAAATGAATTCTACCTTCTGGTTCCAATTCTTCAGTTATTTTTGTCTCGTCTCCAGAAGTAATTGGTGTTTGGTCAGCTAACTGCTCCTCTGACAGATGTGAGAGCTCTTCTTTCTCCTGTTGAATTTCTTCAGCCATCTCCTTCACCTTATCTGCTAGCCTTTCTTGTTTAACCTCCTGTACCACATGCTACATAAAAAGATAAACTTACAGTCTTTATAACATCCCTTCAGTAGTAAAAGTTACTAAAGTTCAGAACTTGAAGAGTAATGGCCCACATTCATTATACACAGCCTTGAAACAATGGTATTGCTTATGCAGCACAAGAAACAATGAGAAGTTGTCAACTGCTGTAACAAATAATTGATACAGTAAAAAGAAATTCTCTAATGATGTGTATTTGTGAAAACATAACTATTATAATCATTTGGTACCTGTCAACATATATACAGCCTCTTATTTCCAGATTCATTTATATTTCAGCTCTTTCAGTTCTACAAGACTCAGTTAAAAAAACAAAACAAAACAAAACCCAAACAAACCCACCCCACCAGCACATTATTCAGTTAGCAATTTTATAACTTAAATTATACAGTATTTTCTGTTTCAAAAGCAAACTAATATCATATAAAAAAGAATCAGCCTTGCTACAACAGAACAAACATGCTACCTAAGGTAAAATAACTTCAGTGCATAACTTACTCTAAAGTAATCTTATTATCTTCTTTATCTTTGAGTTCATTTACATAATCATAGCTCGTCAATGGATACACATTACAGGGTTATGTCCAGGATGGAAACTTACTGATGACTGAATTCAGTCATCTTAAACCCCATAAAAGTGAGGTCTGTTGAGCACTCCTGGACTTCAGGAGCTGTGTTTGGTCACCTCTCCCTGCCTGGGACACCTCTCAAGGCTCACAAAGGCTCAAATCCGAGATTCTTGCAGGACCATCAGTGACAATGAGGCCTGGGCTGATACTCACCCCCTCCATCCTCACATTCATTAAGGTGTAACTCTTGGTTGTCAGGAAACAAAAGGGATTTAAGTGATTAATTCACTGAACCCCTGGTAGATACCTTTAACATTGATAGGTATCTGTACACACAGAGAAATAGGTGCACACATCACTTTACCTGTGTTCACACGAATTGATTGAGGTATGAATGTTACTATGTCAAATCTGTGGTTAAGTCACTGTTTATAATTGTAGTGAGCCCTATGGAATCGCTTTGTAAATGTTAAAATACTCAGTGTTTAAGTGGTGCTAAACTTTTTTGCACCCTTATCTTTGCATCCATATCTTGGCACCCTTAATCCCTTTTGCATTCCTGGCTTCAGTGTAAATCATTCCAAATTGATTCTAATTTGATCTTCGTCTGTTTTAACTTGTGTAGTAATAGAGTGAGCCTCGCCATCAAACTCTGTAAAGTTGTATTTTCACAAATTCACATTAAACCCTGCTTTTGCCAAAACCTGTGGCAGTGTTTCTTTAAGTAGCCAAACCACTTGTTCACAATACATGTCTAGCTATATTCCAAAGTTTCTTCATCATTTCCTCCTGCTACATAATGGTAATTTATAGAGGGAGGGCAAAATAAACTTCATCCAAACAATAAAAGCTCAAGAAGCGATTGGATAACGCTCTCAGACTCATGGTGTGACTCTTGGGGTGCCCTGTATAGGGTCAGGAGCTGACTCCCTTCCAGCTCTGGATATTCTATGGTTCTGTACTGTGTGGGTGACCATGCACTGAACAGGCTGCCCAGAGAAGCTGTGGAGTCTCCCTCTCTGAAAATATTCCAGAACCGTCTGGACACAATCCTGTGCCATGTGCTCTAGGATGACCCTGCCTGAGCAGGGAGGTTGGACCAGATGATCCCACTGTTGTCCCTTCCAACCCAAACCATTCTGTGATTCCACGAATATTTCTGCAACAGCCTTTAGGGAACCGAAGTGACAGGAGGGTCCTGCCATTCAGTTTTCCCACAAAGCTACATTATTTTTCATGAGGATCCACTCAAAGTCTCTATTTTTTTCCCCATTACAATAGTACCAGCAGTGATCAGAGCACACTTGGATCGGGGTTGGTGCTGCATGCTGGCTGCTGCTTAGCTTGCTTCCCCTAATCATCATTGTTTTTCCCTGTACATAAAAAGTACACACTTTGAAGACCACTGAGACCTATTTTACTTATTATCCCTAATAATAGTATGGCCTATGAAATTTTCATACTCTTAATACCACTTTAAATTCAGCATTGCATAGTAAAGCTGTCAGTAACAACTGTCAATATGTAATAGCTCCATATTAATGTATCTTAAGGCATTTTTATTTATCTATACTCATTTATTTACTATCACTTAAGGCCAGTTTTGCAAACACTTGCTGTGGTCAAATAAAATGTTTAAATATTCAATCTGGTATTAGAAGTCAATAGAGCTACTCAGAATCTTAATGGTAAGCACATGATGAACTCAAGCCATAATCATCATAAAGATTATTCACAACAAGTTTGCCCACTTCATTCCACTAGGCTGTTCACAGAAATACACTTTTTAAAGACACACACTAGAAGAATCAACACTAAAAATATTTAGTTTACTTCCTGTCTGTGCTCTTCTTTTGTAAACTTTATACTGGCACAGTGTTGAGATAAAAAAAGAAGAGATTGCAAGGTCAATTATTCACTGAGAAGTTGTCCTACAGCATGAGAAAAACACACATGAAATAATCTGTTCAGTAGATTAGAAGAAAAATATGCTATTGTAAATGCACATAGCTGTAAATAAAAATTGGTGTATTCTAAAAATATTAAAAATTTCTGAATTAATAGTTAATTAAAATTAATGAAACATGGCCAAGGGCAAGAATGGGCTTCAGGTAACTTTGTGCAGTACACAGAATAGTGGTTTTTAATTTGAGAGAGACTGTCAGATGGGCCTCTTTTCCATAAGAACTTCCAATGTAGAGAAAAAGTACTGAATAAAGAGTAAATACTAACCCAACAGATGAAGAATAAATACAGCTGAAATGATAGGAGCCTCATTCAGCATATAATCTGTACCGGGTCAATTTTTGTACTTAACAGTTACTCATAACTTTAGTGTATTGTACAAATGTACATTTAAAAGGCAGCATTGAGATCACCAGCAAGAGAAACTACTTCCCAATTTTCTGGGCAATATTCCTGAACTCCTCATCTTGACCTCTACATCTTGAGAAAATAGGGGTTTTTTACAGAAATATACCTGTTTCTACTTTGATCTTGTCAAGGATTTCATTGTCTGCTAAATCAGATTTGATAGCCATCTCTAGTTTAGCAATTTGCAGTGTCAGCTGCCGTTCCTTTGATTTCCACTGCTGTTCATGGGTCATACAGAAGACACTCCAATAAAACATATGGCATGTGAAAAACTTTCAGAAATCAGCTTCCACAGAAAATAATAAAGAAAAAAGCTTTTAGTGGCACAGAGACCACTGTCATCATGTCTTAGGAATTAAGTAAACACATGCTGGTCTGCTGCTGTTGAAACCAAGGCGCCTTTCTCAGGCTGCGGTTGAAAAACATGAAAGAGTTTGTGGGATGAGCGAAGGAACTGGCCTTAATTTAGAGCTCCAAAGTCAAAAAGTTGGCAGCATGCAACATTTGTGGGACTAGAAAAGGAATTCAGATGCATATCCCAGAGTAATCCACAACTCCAAACCTCAGCGACTGACAACTAACAAAACCATTCTTTCCACATACAAAACCTCTTAATGTAGAGAATTGGGATCATCCACCTGATTTCTTTTAAATCTGTGAAACATGCAGAGCCTAAAGTCAGTTGCCCATTCAAAGAAATGGTGACCACAAAGTGACAACAGTTTTCTCATACTGTAAAACAACAATTCTGATACTGATTAAGAAGCACATCAAGAGTAATCTTTCTCCTACTTTAAGAAATAAAAAACAGAGATAGGCAAAGAAATTAGAATAACTATTTTGCCTGTAACACATTATTTACTTGTAAACTACCAATCTATGTGCAATAAGGATTGCATAGACAAAGAATGAGAACTGCTGAAACCACAACAAAATGTGTAACTCAGATTGAAACAAAATTAAATACATTATATAATTTACAGTGTAATTTCCAGTAGGCAAAAAGACAAAGCAATGCAATGAGCTTTCATATAAATTAAACAGTAAGTGCTATAGTCTTCAAATTATTATTGCTCTATACTTGCATTTTTATTTATTGGAAAAATGTCCATCTTAATCAAGCACAGAACAGTTTATTCACTTTTGTATTCTGTGAAAAATCAGAAATTGTATATTTCTTTAAAAAAACAGGAGTCAGTTCCTCAACTCTTCACTTTGGTGAAGCTCATCAGTTAACAAACATTATATTTTACATGTAAAAATGTATTAAAAATTTTCTGACATCTACCTATTTATCAACCCATCTCTGCTATGTAACAAGCCTCAACCACAAAAAGAGAGAGGAGAAAAAAATATTGCAGAAGGGACAGCCTGCAAGGGACAGACTCTACATTCTGACTGGAAGAGTTCTGAGTACCTGTAAGTGCATCTATATCTAATATATTTGAAGAATGAAAGATTAAAGAGAAAAAATACTACAGCATGAATTGTAAACTCTAAAGCATATGGCAAGAGTTTATATTCCTGATTTGTGTTCTTCATAAAAACAGTTCTGTTTCTTTGTATTGTCTTTTTCTCATACTACATCTAACCTATTTACACAGGTATAAGTATAGAGCATCTTACAGTGTGACTAAGTGTTTTTACAGCACACATGCACTTAAGCAATGCTTCTAAGTCCTGCAGTAATATATGCTTCACTCTCCTTATATTTTGAAGATAATATGCAGGGAATAGGATGCACTGAACCCACTATCATTCCATAGTACTGCACAGGAACAGAGGAGAGGCAGTGTGTTCTCCAATTGTCTAAAGTTTGATTGGCTCCCATAAGGGAAGCATAAATCTCACCAAAAAAAGAAAGACCATCAGTTTTCACACTTCTGAAAATGTTTTCAAGCCTCAACGACCACATTATCTAGTTATATGTGCATTCATCAGCTTTAGGTACAATTACTTCACATGAAGATGTAGCTATATATTTCAGTTTTTCAGAAGACTATGGCAGAAAAATCATTAAGTTACCATGACGGTAGTTCAGAATGCAGATGTTTAAATGAAGAACATTTTAGATGACAGGTTTTATCCGAGTCTATATAATGCTAATGTTTATGTCAGTTTGAATTGAGTCCTCTTGTGTTGCTTTCTTCCTTTGAATTTTAAGATTACTTTTACTTGAATTCATGTGGAATTTCTTTCATATTTACTGTATTTCATTGGAGTTGGAGCCATCTGTGTAACTATAATGGTCAACCACATCTGGCACCATTTCCTTTGGAGGGAGTTTAAGCATTGCTAGATTTGCATTACAAGGTCATATGAAAACAATTCCTCCAAACCTTTTATCCAAACGAATTGTTTTCTTGGATACTGACTAAATAATAAGAGTCAACTGACAAATTCATACTTGCTCTTTGAAAACTTTTCAGATCCAGTTCTGCAGGCTTGGCTTTGGCAAAATTCCCGTCAACGTCAAATAAATTTCCTAAAAATAACATTAGCAAAGAATGGGTTTATGCCTCTTTTCCTCCATTAAAAAAAAAAAAAGGAAAAAAAAATTATCTAGTAACTGCAGACACTGGTCTATCCACTGCTAGCAACGGGTAAGCCGTGGTAAAGTTGCACTGTTCAAATAGGCAAACAAAAATGCAAAAATGCTGGCCATTAAAAGGTGGTTGTAATGAAATGATCCATTTCTCTTTCCAATTTATTGTTACAACATTGAATGATTCTGTGCTCTTGATCACAACCTCACCTCTTCGTTCCTTCTCTTTGAAATAGTTACTGATTGCAATCCGTTCTGAAGATGGAGGCATTTTATCTGTTCCTCTTTAAGACGTACATTCAGTTCATCACCTTTGCTAATAAAACATCATGGAAGGTCTTCAAATTGTTTAGGCTCTATAAAAAGGAAGGAAGGAAGGAATATTAAAAAAAATAAAATAAATCACACCTAGCAGAATGTTACAACGCTGTATATTCCAACAATGGTCTCTCATGGCAGTATTTAATATATATTCTGAATGTGGTCAGCAGGAGACACTCTTGATCCAAGTAACTGAAAGCAACTTTCTTTCCACATGGCCAAGAGAAGGTGGCAGTCTTGGTGCTCTCATGAACATTAAACCCTCAGTTCAGTCATGATGAAAACAACCAAGAAATACATCTGTTCAGCAATTAAAAGATTTTGCTGTGGTTACAGTGGTTAGACATGCTGACCAAAAAACACTGCAGTAGCAAGCAAAAATGAATGTTGACCACAGTTATGCTAATCACAAAAATTGCCACAGCTCTGTTAACCCTTAATTGTAGATATATCATTGTTTCATAATCCTAATACACTCAATTCCCTACTAGCAGTATTTTAACAAGGGCCTTCTGATTTCTTTTACATTTTCATTTACTTCAATGGATTATATTAAGGCATATTTAACCAATTGTATATTAAATTGAGGATGCTGATAGAGTCTCTATTTCTAGAATATTAGTTAATGTTATAGTGCCTACATTCCACAAAGCTTTAATAAGGTCTTATTCATTAAGAATTTCAACGTAAATCACATTCAAAGCATAACTTGAAACAAAACAATCCACAAGCCAATCTTCTGTTTAACAAAATGATTCTATGAAAATTTGTACCAAATACATATGTGAGTATAGATAATGTTTAATGATTGTAGACAAAAGACATTTAGCTTCATTTTTCCCATATAATATCCCTACAAAGTAGTTAAATGGAGAAGCTGAATGTGAATCCTGTAGATTGTTTGGGTTCACTTGCAGTCTGAATATACAAGAAACAAACAAAAACCACATGAAAAACCAACCACCAAACTGATCTTCAACCTTTCATATCTTATTTCTGAGTAAGGAAAATATTGTGGAGAATAAAAAAATATTAGCAATCTTGTTTCAGAGAGTTAATGATGTATATTGCTCCACAATTTTTAACAATCTTTTTGCAGTGCTCTTCTTGCTCTGTCCTATATCTGTGAACTCTGTTGCAGTAATTTCAAAAAATTACAACCTTCAAAAGCATTTTTACAAGCATTTTCATATCTGTCCACATTTTTTCCTTTCTTAACAAAATCAGAATCCTTAAAGTCTATAACCCTTCCAAGTGTCCAAGTGAACTCATCTTTTCATCCATCTCTGTTTCAATTTTTTTTCTGAAGTTCTTTTCCATTTCAATAACTTGTGTCGCTCCAACCCCAGTACAGGGAGAAAACCAAACGAATTAAACACCTTGGCAAAGCTGCCTTTCATAGACCATTTCATCCTCATCTCTTTCCTTCATTACCAAAAGAGCTGAAGACAAATCCAGCAATCGTATTTTCTACTGAACAATCTCATTAAAAACACTAAAAACATCCTCCTGAAAAATCTCCTTGCTTCCACTTCATTCTGTTTCTTCAGTCTCTCTGCTACTCTCCTGACCATTTTGAATTAGTTTTCCTCATTAACTTTGAGAGGACCACGACTTTACCCTCATTATTTTTATATTCTTCCAAAATTCATTTTTTACCTGGATCATCTTCTATATCTGTCAGCACATTTTCCCATTATATCCAAACTGTTCTCTATCCTGCTGCCCCTGGAGTATCCCAAAACTCAGGTCATGACAACAATCAGGAGGATAATTTTAGGTTAATGTTTCTAGTCTGGAAGTTTCTTTCTTTGGGAAACACGTCTTGATATTGTTGTCAGTTAGAAATAACTCTTTTAAAGAAAATGGATATACACCTTCTAGAAATACTGCACAAATGAATATCAACTGCTCTCCATTGCAGATGTGAAACTACTGTACCAATAGTTCAAAAGAATTGACCCTCTATAGTATTTTACCTTGCAGTTCCACAGATTAACACATTCCATATTATAAGTCATGAAATCCTGAAAACTCAGTCTGTAATTAAAGCAAATAAATATACCAATGGGATAAACTGCATACTCCTAGCAGTTTCAGGGTCCCTGGTTCCTCTAAGCAGATTGCACAATTCCTTCATTCAACTAGCTACATTAAAATTCTACAGCAACAAAACTGTCAGGTAAATGTTTGGTAAGAAGCTCAACTTCAGTATCATTAGATGCAGCAGGATTATAGGCTCCTATCATTCCGTGGTTTCACATTTTGGGCCAACTCAAGTTCAAAGATGAACATGGACAAATTATATGGGCTTCAATTGGTAGAAACGGAAAGTAAATGATAATGAACTCAATAGACAAAAAAAAAATCAAGATAAACACAAAAAGAACTAAAAGCTGCTGTGTTGATAAGTATGTTACATGCCATCTAAACTAGAAATTTTGGATTTTACAGTTATTCACATTTAGTAGACATGTTTCAAACATTCAAATGATTGGAAATCAGAAAACCATTGCAGGCATTCTCTTACAACAAAAAAGAGACAGAACACTCACTCATCGTTATTCAAAATGCACCTTTCACTGTGAATATTAGAAACAATGTCTTCAAATACCACTTTAAATCCTGTGCATGTGTTTCCATTCAGCTGCTGCCAGGAAAGAGGCACAAGCACTTGACGTTTGTTGTAAATTACCAAAAAGTGGCACATGATTTAAAATGGAACAGTTCACTTATCGCTTTCTATTTAAGAACAGAAAAAGCCATGTGAAACCTGTCTCCCCTGGAATTTACACTCTGCATAGCTCACCCTAAGAAAAATTAGATTTGAGCTATTAACAGGAGAGCTGCTTTGGCAGGGAGGATATAGGTATTACACCAAAGAAGGGGAGGGAGGCAAAACAAAGCAAAATGTAGAAACAGAACAACACAGGGAAAAAAGGAACGGAACAAAAATCTAATGTCACAAGTGTTATTTAGCATGCTAAAATAATAAGCAGCAGGCAGCAGTAAGAGTTCACAAGGATATTAAGTGCTTCCACCTCATAAGGCTAGGATACTTTATAAAGTTCTATTGCAGTTAGGACTCCTACTTACAGGAACTCTCCCATTTCCAAGCTATTACCAAATCACCTCTGTATGGACATGCAGTTCTCCAAAGACATATAGGAAAAAGGAGACAAGAGCTGAATAACTAAAACCTATACAGAATCTACCATGCAATTGCATGTTCTGGTGATATTTTCATAAAAATGCTCTTTTTATAAGGAAAGTTATTACTTACAGTAGCCCTCTAAAATAATTTCCATGAACATATGAACACAAGTTATATCCTAATGTGAGACTGAAAGAGCCAAACCTGCTCTGATAAAGTGAGGGGGGGTAGCATATTTAAGGCAAAGTCCCCTCTTTAAATCATGAGTGTCTTTCAATAGCCAGATAACTCAGTTCATTCCTCACAATCTGCTTCAGATGACTTTGCAGATAAAATCATTAAACACCTGCTATACCCTTCTGAAAAAAAAAATAAATTTTAAGACGAAAAGTCCTTACTCTATTTGGAGTAGCTTGAGAGAAATGTAGTATGTGGTACATTTTCATGTCCTCAGTATTGACTAGAAATCAAGGACTGGGTATATTTTTTTTTCCATTTAAGCAGGCTTACGTGATGAGAGCATGGGAATATACTGACCAAGTTGCAATTATCTCTTGAAGCTGGAGAAATTTTCCTCCCTTTGCTGAAAGAGCACTGCTTTTCTCAACCAGCTGTTAATGGACCTTGATTGGTTCCACATTGTCCTGAATGTTTAGCCTTTAAAATTAAAAAGAAATGCATCATGAGCTTAAAAACACAAAATGAATTATATTACTTTCGTTTTGAAAACTTGAAATATTTTGCAAATCAGCTTTCTACAGCACATTTGGAGAGAAGATTTAGTGCGTAAGACCCAAATTAATTTATTTTATAATGTACATTACAGAATTTATGTAAATGAAAATGATGACACAGCAACTTCAATCAATACATCGACATCTTTGACTATTGTATAGAACTGTACATGACAGGAAAAGAAAACAACCCTATACCTAAACAGATTGTTTTCCATTCACTTTTCCACCCTCTGAAGTATTTGGTGCAGTAGCATACCATTTTATGGAGTTTCCTTCAGAAGTTTAAACCCACCAAATATTGCTAAGAAAAAGTGACTCAGCAATTCATACTGTAACACCTTAAGGCTGGTACTCAAACAAGCTGCAGGTTTGTCTTAACTACATGAAAATAACTTAGTATTTACGTAAATATTGTTACAATGCTAAGATTAAAATTCTAAGATCTGAGAATGTAGATAGGATGCTTACAATGATTCAAAATTTAAAGAAATATTTATTTAGATGCTTTCCCTTACTTCAAACAGTGCAACTAAACTCCATTATTTTCACAGTTTCTTCAAGTATGTGAAGAGAAATCGATTCTGATCTGTAGTAATATAAATTATTATAAAATCAGAATAAATCTTTAACATTTGAAAAGGTAATTTCTCTTCCAATATTTATCTCTTTTAGTCATATTGGACGAATTGTCACAATGCCACGCTGGAGCAAGACAATGGACTACAAAGCTTACACACCTGTAAACCAGCTGAGTACATGAAATACTTTCCTTTTATTCTTTAAAATAACAAATGCTATTGTGTTTTGGCATTGCCCAGTTAATTGTCCTTACTTAGAAGATAAACAAACTCATGAATTTGAGATCTTCACCAAAAAACAGGCCTAACTCAATGTTAAAACTATCATGTGTCTAAAACATGTTATCTACATAAATTAAAGTTGTGGTGAGCATAGACAGCAGCAACTGTCTCATGCTAGCTATTTAAAAGCTAATGTAGTGGCACGTTTTTATTAATCTTGTTCCACACATCAAACAAAAGGCTCTGATGCCTTCAAAGGCTTTTTTTTTTCTTTTTTCCCCTTCTTTTTTAAGCGTTTTTTTTTTTCTTTTTAAGTAGAAGAAGGAGCAGATGATAGTGAAATTTATGATGTACAGATGTAAACTCCATGGCTCCTGACAGTCAACATTAACTATTTTTTCAGCAGTGAATGAAACAGCATTTGATTTAAACAGGTTTGCAATACTGATATTATGGCGTAAATTATTCAAATTCAGAAGCGAAAAATTACTTTTTATTTGGATCATTTCAATTGAAAGAGTATCTCATGAAGTTTCTAGCTACAGAAAGCATGTGCAATTAATTACTTATTAGTGTATTACATCAATCACAATCTCAGCTCTCATTATATTATTTCTCTACAGTACTTCTGCAGTACTTTATTTATTTATTTAAATAAAATAAGCCTAAGAAATGTCCACTGCACCTAGGTACATGACAAGGAGCCCGCTGTTGAAGTATGAGATCTCTTCAGATTTTGTGGGCAAGGCAAAGTTAATTGGGGAAGATTCTGTTGGGGAGGTTAATTTTTCTATGAATTAAGCCACAAAACAGTAGAATAGAATAGAAATTGATGATCTACATCAAGCCTTCAGCTTCCCAGGTAGGTGTTACATTCTGCTCCCAGAACATCTGCCCAGGTCTTCTGATATAACTTAAAAATAGGGGTTATATTTAGATTTAATATAAATTCAATGATACTTTTCACTTAAACAAATAATATTTCCCTCAAACTAACGTGTAAGACTAAGGCTGTACTGAGATAGCTCAATCAATATTTTCTTTATTGCCCAAAAAGTAAAAAAAATTCTGCCATAGAACCTGAAGATGTGGAGGTAGAGCTGAAGCACAAGTCAGAAAAAGAAAATGAACCAATATCCCTCTGGAGACAGTAACATGAATTAATGGGCCTACTGATCTAGCTCTAGCATGCCTTCTACCACAACTGCAAAAATAAGGAACATGACTCTATCCTTCCACTTTATACCTCATCTTCAAGCTGGATTTAAAAGTCTGAAATGGAGAAGGAAGTTAGGAGAAAGTGACTCTTAAAAAAGCTAAGAATGATGTTTGGGGTTAATGACTGAAGTACACCAAAGAGACAATCTTTTTTCCAGACCTCTTATCATTTGGATTAAAAGCATAGAGAGTGGGGTCCCAGTAACAAGGCTGGGGACCAGCTGTGTGGGAATGGGGCACTGACAGCAACCTACAGCAGAAGGAAATGATTAAAGAAAGGATCTTGACCTGCACTGTACAAATTTATGCCAGTAAATCCCAGATGGCTAAGCTAATAAAACCGAGGTCTAATTAAACCACATCCCTTGCATCTTGTCTTTGCTTCCATATGAGCAGGACATGGATACAATACTGAGACTACTCTTAAGAGTCACGACTGTTGTATCAACTGGATTAGTGGCTCACAAACTTTCCCTATCTGCATTCAGAACAAGAAAAACAAGCAAGTTAAACACATATCACCTCCTAACTTCTCAGGATCACTTGCCCTCTGTCTGGCAAAATAAAAAAAAGCTTCTCAGCTAATCATTCGCAACCACAGATGCACCAATGGACAAGATACACAGACTGCCAAGCAGAGAAGTAAAGAACAAAACATTAATGTGCAGTACTCATCTTATTTTACAATGCTTAAGAACGAATAGGATTATATGTTATGCCCTTTCCTTTGTCTCATTTCTTATAGGAAGGCAAACGTGCAAATACCAAATACCTGTTTTACAAATGCATTCTGGGATGGCTTTAAAATGTTTTTGGAAAGTACCATCAGCTATTAAGTTATTTGAAGCTACCTGCTAACTAAATGATTTTATTTAGAATTAATGTTTTACCTTGAGCACTGTGTCTAACAGACATCAAACCAAAAGGTTATGGTTTTGGACATCTTTAAATTATAAACAGTCAAGATGGATGCAAATAACTTCTGTACTTAGTGTGTTAAGTCTAATAATCCACAGGCCAAGTTTCTCCCTGAAGGCAGAATTAGATATTCCTGAAAGAATCCCCAAATGATCTCTAATTAAAGATGGAAAAAACCACTGCAGCCATGTTCCAATGATCATTTCAAGGAGTACTGTGCATATGAACTCAGCTCTGTTATGTAGCTCATGTGGTGTTAGACAGAAACTACACTGAAGCTGCAAAGGCAGCTTTGAAATATTACTGGATTTCTTGTGGTAGAGGACTCAAGATAACAAGTATCTCCCTTCCTTACTGCTGATGGATCAAGGATTTACTGTGGCTGCTTTGCTACTTGGAAACTACAGGTATTTCAATCACAAGAACCCTCTCAACCATGTAGCACAATAAAGAATGTTTTCCTCAAGGTTGAAAGTAACCTAATTTTGTTAACAGCAGGTTGATATCAAATGGTGCTACAGCAAAAAGACTTGTGGGAGCACAGTTATTATGCCCTTTCGGCACCACACAGTTCCTAAAGAATGTCAACAAACATTGGGTAGTTACATAACTAGATGACAGCCAACTGTATTCTTACAAAACACAAGAAAAAGCTGCCAGTTGTACCAAAATTCAAAGTCAAAAGATATAATGATGAACTAAGATGACCTTATTGGTCACCCGAATTTCCAGTTTTTCCTCCAGTACTCCAGTATTTCTCTGCTGATGCAAAGAAGATTAAAAATTACATAAAACCCAGAAATCTATTTTTGCAATAAAACAATTAGTGCAGGCTGTTCTAGACAGCAGGTACAAGACTTTCAAGAAAGTAAGCTAATGAAAGTCTCCTAAATAGAATATGTATGTACCTATGGTTACAGTTAAACCTGGAGAAGACCCTTAAAGTTCTGGCTCTGGTTCACTCAGCATAAAAAAATACATACCTTGGAAAACATGGGGATTAACAGTCTTCCATAAAGTATTCTAGAGGAAAAATACACACACTATTCTACATATGTACTAGCGGACATTTTTCAATTTATTTCCTAGTTTCTTCAGTCAAACACAGTAACTCTTAAATACTAATGTATCTTTTATCAGGTTTCAAACAAGAAATGGACTGTAAAGGAAATAATTCCAGAACTTCAAACATGAACTCACAGATAGTAACATAGGTCAAATATCATGGATTGTATACACGTACTTTCAAAAATATAAATAAGGATCTGCACTACTTTTAAAGGAATTTTTAGATGAATTTGAAGTGTATCTTTAAAACTTCTTAAAAAAATCTTACAGAAATATGGTAGTTGACAATGAATTTAGATGTTATCTTCAGTTTCTGCCTGCTATACTTAAAGAACAGTGTTTATCTATAGAAAATGAAGCATGGAAGTTATTTGAGACAGATTATTTTCAAATAACGAAAAAATCTTTTAAATATTTTCTGAATCCACTGTAGGCGCAGACTGAGAAATTATTTATGATAACAACTTCTTTAACCTATTTAAACTAAATAAAGGAAATTCTGAATAGGGGAGACTTATGACTTTGTGAATAATTTAATAGCAAACATTATGATGTATTATTTATGTAGCACCACTGATGCACAAAAGAATGCTCACACATAATAAGGGGGTCCCTCCCTCGAAAGGCAGTTAAAGAACTGACCAGAGACTTCTCATCCAAGTAGAACTTTCGTAAGGAAGGTGGATCATGAAGTATCAGACCCTTAATGCAACTAAAGGTAATAGTCTGAAACTGAAACACTCAAAAGGGGGAAAATACATGCAAAGTTATATAGTTTTGCATGCATTTTTGCAAAAGTGAAGGAAGAGGAGAAACTAATAGAGGCTTTATTGTGAACACATTCTGCATGCATGTTTGTCTGACTTTGCTTCACTGCATAGCTATTCCTTCAAAAATTTGCTAATCTGCCCTTACAGGCCCAATATTTTTCTACTATTTGTAGACTTCAAATTATTAATGAGTATTAGTGAACATTAAACTGCTTGCTATGAACGTATATCTAAATTTTTGTAAGAATCATATTGAAGAACGAATAGATGATTAAAATTTGATGACTTGGTGACTTGAACTTCAACTGAATCAGTAGGAGCTGGAAATGAATTCTCTAAAATGGTAATTATGAGCTTCTTTGTTTATTTATGAAAAAAATCATAACTTCTTATCATACCAATCTCCCTGCATAGAATGGATACGTGGATACATGGCTGTTTGGTAAAACATTTTATGAGTTAGTTTCACCAAACAGAAGAAATGAATAAAGCACTTATTCCTTGACAGAAGAATTAATTTCCACAGCTAAACACTATGACATAGCTCTTCTCATGCCTCCACCACGGAGATTTCTATTTTTCACAATACCTTTGGCTTGCTGTTCTCTGCTCTTTCAGCCGTAGGATGGACTCCTCAATTTCCTTTTCTTTCTTTCTCTAGTTGACTCACAAGTATCTTTGGCATGTTCTAGTTCCTCAGTGTATTCCTTTTGGGACTCAATCACAGTCTCCCTGCAAGCACAAGCATCTGACATTCCAAACTCAAGTATTTAATAAAAGTAAGAAATTAAATGAATACTCAAAAGAGCAAAAATTGTAGGTGTTCAGCAAAATTTGTTTTTCTTAATGACATGCATTGTAGCAGAGGTTTAAGAGTTTATTTCACTATGAAAACACAACACAGACCCTACACTATGTTAGAAGTATCCTCCTTCTAATGCATTAGTACTAAGTGTTTTCTGAAAAGCAAAACACCATTACTAGCTATCAAAGATTATGAGATCTTCAATGGATGGAGCAGTGAAAGTAATTTTTAAGCTTTTATTCTGACAGGTAACTTGACACACTAAAAATCAGATGACATGCCTTTAACAGTGTGATTTATCCAGAACATGCCAATTTATAAGTGTATTTCTGTACAATGATTTCCTATGATTCAAGTAAATCTTGTGTTCACAGAACTTCAAGCACAAAATACATAATTGCACATTAATTCATATATTTGTATACTTAGCTTGGGGTCTGCACAGGACATCTTGAATCTGGATCTGTTCTTATGCCAAGAAAAATCCTCGCAGTGTGCCATATCAACATTTGATCTTTATTCCTTGAATCAAGTTGCCCTCTTCTCTTTGCTACTACTGGGCTTGAATCAATTTATTATAGTTCTACCCTATTTTTGCATTGTTAAAACAAAAAAACAAACACTGATTTTGGGAATAAAACTGCCTAATTAATGATATGAAGTGTAAAAATGTAGGCGCATTAAAAATGTCAAAACTTGTACTACATATAAATTAAAGAAGCAAATTGGTAGAGACGATCACTTTTTATTGTCTGTCTGAAAACATGAGAATTGTTTTTTATTTTCATATGCCTAAATAATCAATGTAACGAAAATAAAGGCCAATGTGAGGGTGAGATGGAGGAAAAAACCACAGCGTAACTGGCCACCAGCCTGATCCATAACTTGTGGAAGTTAAGGAGACAATTCTGCTGACTCAGGTTTGAATCAGGGCCGTAAGTCTTCTGTTGTTTGGTTTTTTTCTAACACATTATCAGTCCAGCATATAAGTTAACTGACTACAAGTACTTCTAGGAATGTTCCTATGAAAACAGAAAGATTTTAAAATGACGTTTCCAAATGTAGCTACCATAGGTAAAGGACTGAGAGATCGCCTTAAGCAGTAAGTCTGAACAGTAAAAAGCCTCATTATAGATGGCTGCAGTGTAGGATTTGCTTTTCAAAGTCCACACGTGCGACAGATTTTTCAGATCTGCAGTGTTGTGCACAGACTAGAACAAACCTTGAAATTAAAAAAGGAAAAACATGTGCAAACAAACTACAGATGTGGAACTTTGTTATTACATGACAACACTAAACTTTTTCATATACTACTTTTATAACCCTTTAACATGTAGAGAAGTTATACTAAGGAAGTCCCATGATTTTAACTATTAGAAAACTTGCTTGATAAATCTGCACTTTTGTTTAACCCCTACTACTGTGGATTCTCATAATAAGGACTTCAAAGGCAAACAAGTTATCATGACTGTTATAAATAAATACTAGAAAAAAAAGGAAATAAAAATCTTTCTGTCTACAGGTACTATTATTGCCCACTGATGAACAGAAAAAGAGTATGGACGTGCTACAGTACAGCAATTATTAGGGGTACCAGTATAAACCCCTGTTTTTAATAAATGTGAATTACACCTTCCCCTGCGTGCTCCAGCCTGCCAGTGGCCTCACTCACTTTTCTGAGACCAATGTTAACAGAAGATTGAACACAGCTGTGTGGACAAGGCCTATGGCCTTGAATCTGGAGCTGCTGGTCAGCTGAAAGCAGTTTGCTGCAGAGGCTCTCGTTTTGTCTCTCAAGCCCATAAACTCTTCTTGTAAATGCTCAATTCTTTCTTCCAGCTCCAGGCCTGACCCGGCCACTTGAGGTCGCCACTAACCTGTTCGGACTTTTTTTTACCATTAACAAGCTGTGTTAACTTGGTGGTCATTCCGGGGAAAATAATAAAAAAAGATGAAAAAGAATGTGAAAAGTCAGCATAAAAAGCATTCTGTTGAAAGGAACATAATCACTGTGAAGACTTCAGCATAGAACCTGAATAATAAATTTCAGGTTTTGATATAACTATTACTGCCTGTGAAGAACTCTTTGAAGATAATTGAAACCACTGTGCAGCAATCTGCTTTATAGCACTGACAAATAACAGTTTCCTAAGGCTTATCATTTGGTTAGTAAAGGGAGGACACATATTTACTCCATATGCTGCTTAAATGTAATTTTTAACGCATGACCTTATATAGGAACCTCCGCGTGCTGTTAAGTAAAGTTACGGATTTGGGATGTGGTGGGGCAAACTATAAAAGATACAATTTCACAAAACATTCAACTGTTCAAAGAATGCTAATAATATACAACATTCCAATGATACATAATTTCTACTAATTTAGGGTTTAAATATATGTCTCATTTCTAAAGTGGCTAAAATACAGAGGTTGAAATATTTAAGCAGGTACTTCGGAAAAAGAGACTTAATAGTTCTCATTACCATACTCAGTTTTATACTTGGTAAATATTACCAGTGTGCTTCAGACAAGGAACGGTTAGCTGAAGAATATAATTAGATACAGAGGGAATGGTTTTCATCTGTCCTTAAAAGAATACAAATTTTGCTCTTGGCATCTTAAGAGTTGTACCTTTGATTTCCCTTAGTTTTGATAAACATTGGTAAGCTGGAGCAAAAGGCAGAGAGGGCACATGGGGGTGATGTAATATACACGAACAGAAAACATACCCAGCGGTGAACAGAAAAAACTTGGCATATAAAGAAAGAAAAGGTGGCTTTGATGAAAGAGACAAGTTCAAGACTTTACAAAATCGGTCGCACATCTTCAAGACCTGTATCTAGTTTACAGGGAATCTATTTTTGAAGGTCCAGAAAGAAAACTGAAAATAAGGACACACCTCATTTGTTTAAAGGAGGCTTGTTTTAGTTTTTGTATACTTCTGCACAGAAGCTTCTACTTAAAGAAACAAAAGTGAAACCAAAAAAATCCGTAATAACTTTAGGATGTCACAGAATGTTACTTGCCTGTGAGCAGGTTTTTTGTTTATTTGTTGGTTTTTTTTCAATGTTCTTCTATTGCAAATTCATTCCAAACTTCTAGTTATAAGGGTTTTGGCATGAGGGATGCTGGAAAAGAAATTTAGCTTGAGGAGTTAAGATCTTTGTCTGGCAATCTAGACAAACACTGTATTTTTTATTTTCTGTGCCATAAAGTATTAATTCAGGTATTCCAATGTGGACATTCCGTGTAATGTTACCTAAGTGGATGATGAGTGCATTTGGTAAATCATCTAACAGAAACACAGGAAATGCCATTTGGAATAAGCAAACAATTCATTTGTTCCACCATCTCGCATTTGACAACAGCCTGACAGAAAAGATGGAAGTTATGTCATGCTGGTCAATTTGTTCCTGATGCACTGAGGCAAAAGGAAAGAATGTTTCGGACTTTAATAAAGTACAAAATGGTCCCATCTACAGAGGCAATATTTTCAGCTGCTCTTTTATGGATTTGTTCACTTCTGACCAGACCTTGCTTAGGTGCAGCAAGAATTTATTAAGTACAGAACAGTGTGAGCACAGAGTGCTGGTGCTTTTGGATTAATTAGCCCTCCTGCAATATAGGAATACCATGAACAGTTCTGCTGAGCCCAGACTGGTTTGCCAGCACAGCACTAAGTTTAGTAATAAGCCTGAAGTTGCTTGGGTACCTTTGGGCACACAAGGTACTCTGCCCTGCATGCTATTTGGGACTGCTTCACTGAAGTTATCTGTTACACTGAAAAAAGGAGAGCTGATTATAAAGGTATTTTAGAGCTAACTAGACAATCACAGAACCAACTAGGTTAGAAAAGACCTCTGAGATCACAGAGTCCAACCTGAGACCAATCTCCACCATGTCAAGCAGACAGCGGCACTAAGTGCCATGCCCAGTCTTTCCTTAAACACCTCCAGGGATGGTGACTCCACTGCCTCCCTGGGCAGCCCATTCCAACATCTCATCACCCTTTCTGTGAAGAAATTCCTCCTAATGTCCAACCTAAATGTCCCCTGGCACAGCTCGAGACTAAAGATGCCAGTCTACTTCCTGAAGGCCAGAGAAGTACAAAATAAAGGGCAGAATCTCTCTGTAAGATCATTTTGATTGCAGAATGAAATTCTGGACGAATCATTAGGCTTCTGTACCCTCTTCTTCAGTTCCCAGAACACTCATTGTACTCTGACAGCACAGCTCTGAACCCAAGGTACAACTCCAAAGTGATAGCCAGTGCTGTACCTCTGTACATGGAGATCTAATACCCACAAAAAAAATCCACTACAGCAAAAAAAAAAAAAAATCTTACATACACAGAGATAACCAGAAATCAATAAAAAAATGAATTACCAGTGATTTTTCTTAGTGCTTTAAAAAGTGCTCTGAGAAAAATCAGCATGATTTTTAATTTGTTGATAAGGCTTTAAAGGGCAAGAAATGTTACTGTAAGCTAAAATAAAAATATGAAACCTCATACCTTTTAATTTTCTCCTCTTGCTTATTTGTATGCTGCTTGAGTAAGATGTGGTCATCGTGTATATGAAGAAACCTGTCCTCCAGTTCTTCTCGAATGATTTGTTGTACAGCTTGCAGAGCTTTTACATTGTGTGGTTGATGATTCTACCCAAACCAAGACAACCTTAAGTTACCTTCAATATATTCAACAACATGTAGTTCAAAGCCTAAACCATTTTGAAATACTGAAAAAAGAAGAAACTTGTCAAGTAATATTTTTCACTTATATGAGTCTGTTGATTAATTTTTTCACATTTATTGTCATGTTAATCACTTCTATTACAGATTAAAAAAGAGCAATTAAAATGATACAGCAAACTGTTTACCTATTAGACAACACAAAGTTAACAGTTTAGCAAGTAACCAGGTTCTTTAAACCAGGTTCCTTAAAAATAAACATTACCAAAGAGATGCTTTCTAATCTGTTTCAAAGTTAACATACTGTCTTGAAGTTTGAAAAGATTAACTCATAGTTCTGCAGATTTACTCAGGCACAAGATTAAGCCCAGTTGTTCCATTCTAATAGCAGCTGAGTAACATATCAGAATTGCATAATACTTTTGGTTCCCATTTTGTTAAATGGATCTGGCCTTGTCCTCAATTCAGAAAAAAAGTCCTTTTTTTCTTCTGGAAGGATGAATGTTACAGCTCAATGACATTTCCAGTTTTTAGCATCTCACAGCAAGTCCCCTCTTATAACAAGCAACTTGAACATAGAATGGGTCACAGCATCTTTCAGAATTTAACCCAGATTTTGAATGGTATTTGAACTTAATTTTGTGAGTGGCAACATCAGAAACATTTTTAGAAAGGAACTAAAGAAGCCACTGATCAAAGTCTGTAACTGTAATAAATAGCAGCTGGTACAAACCTTGTAATCCTTCAATTCCAGATGGAGTTAGACCCGTATCTCTCACAGGCAGGTCCCCCACAGTTTCATCAGCTGAAACAGGCATGGCTTATCTATGGATAACAAAATTCAAATGAAATTCTTCTCCATCTGTTATTTAAACTGTGAGACTAGAATGAACTACAGTACCTCATACAAAATGAAAGAAAAAGTTATGGCAGATCCACTGAAACGACAGACTAGTACATTACTGTAAATGCTCCTATCTCAATTGGATTGCTCAGAGGACAATCGGAACTTTCAAGTTTAATTTTATGCCATTTTTAATCTGCTCACAAAATCTGGCTATTTTGGTTATGCAATAGTTTCAATTGTATTTAATGGATGTAAAATTAGCTTTTTAAAGTTCTAGTTCTGCTGTCTTCAGCAATCTTTGGGCTAAGGCCATATTTTCAAGTGGATGTGGGAAGGGGACCTGTGGGGTTTTTTTGTTTGGTTTGGTTTTTTTAATCGTTTGTTCATTTTAAGACAGGTCAAAGCTTGAGGCATCAGCTGGTAGATGAGTAATGCCATCTTCCATATTTTGAATAGGACTGTTTGAAACAGAGGCGCTGGGGGTTATGAAGTCATTTCAGTGTTGCCTGGCATTCTCTTAGTCTTCTTTCAATCATTGTCATAAGAGAAATTAGTTTGTAAGATAGAGACTTTCCTATGAATGATTCTCATAAATCTGAACATATTTCTTTCTTGAGGCAACAGAAAACTTAGCTACATGACAAAGTGAGGTTAGGAAAGTATTAATGTGAGAAAGTACTACATTTGTTTCGGTGTAATATATGAACATACTTGTTAACAACCGCTGTTTCTTTCTTGTTTTCTGGTGCAGAAAATTACATGTTGGTCACAGAGTCAAGTAATGCTGAAATAGCACGAAAAGGAGAGACATGAAGTCTTTTGGACAATCTTCCTCACTCCCTATTTTTACACCTTTTAGGTGATATAACTCCTTAGTGAATCCAAAACCATCTAGGAAAGCATTGGGAAATTAACAGTGATGCTACTAAAGACTTGCATCAGAGAACAGAAGTGACATAGTATAATCCAAAGACTTTCCATGAAGTATCTGTTAATTTTACCATAATCAAAACTGCTGCTAAATCTATGCCTTTCTTCTACCAGGAATGTCTTCCATCATAAACAAGTCTCCTTATGGCTTTGTCCAAAGGGAACAGAAAGAATTAATGGAAGTTTAGTTTCCAACAAGTCAGTCCTGCTTTGGTTTTTTCATCACTAATATCTATAATAAAGTATTATTTCCAGCTTTCACTCTTTATAAAAACAGAAACACATTTTTCTTTCATGTGGAACCGTTTCCTTGTCACAAGCATTGAAATGAACTGATCTACACTTTTAGATTAGCAATAAGGTTGCAGCTTCAATGCTCTCAGTCACAGAAACAGAGAATACTCTGATGCTGATGTCCATGGCATGCAGCCACTGCAACCAGTGGCACCAGTGGCAAATACATATCCACTGGAATCCAGCTGGTCAGTGTCCTCAGCTCTTTATGTATTATTCTCAAAACTTTTTTGTCATTTGTTAAATTAGCTCTATCTGCAGTCATTGACTTCACTCAGGTCCAGGTTCATTACTGGGGTCACTATTATATGTCACTGTATCAGTATCACTACTGTAACTGAGATGAAAGAGAAGCAGAAACCTTTACCTCCCAATGATCATCCAAATTTGGTTCATGATGGTAGCAAGGAGATGTTACCATCATATGTCTTTCTAGAATGTGGTTGTCTTTGCTCTCACAAATCAAAAATTACAGGGTTTTTTTCTGGCAAGTTTCAGAGACATCAAGAGCTAAACAAATATTTTATCAGCACGACTCCACAATCTATCAAAATGAAGCTTCACAAACTCTAGCACAGTAACAAGCACAGGCAAACATTACTGTTTTCACTACTTGCTACTTGGTAAAGAAACTTTGCTATGAATATCTACTTGTTATATTCAGTATGAAAGAAACCTATTCATCTAAAAACAGAGACAAAACAACACATGCTTTTCCCTCAAACAAACAAATAAAAAACTCTTGTCGGTAGTAATCCATTACTGGCTGCAGCAAAACCACAGAAACACTTAAGCTGTAAACAAACTAACATAGCAGAGCTGCACAGCAAGCCAGTTTTTACTGGCAATATGGCATGACTTAAAGTGACAAAATAAAGCTGCTATAAATCCTGAAAACCTAGAAAGGCGAAATTTTCAAAAGTAAAAGGAAGAATTAATTGTTTAATTTCCATTACAAAGTGACATAAATTAAGTATTCAGCTTTCTTTTCTGTCCTAGGCCACAGGAAAAGAAAAAAAAAACCCAAAACATTATTTGTTTTTATCAAAAGAAGTGCTTTTAGATAGAAGTAGTACAAACCTGTCTCCCGGTTTTAGGGAGGCAAAAGATAATTACAGATTTAGAATTTGGCCTGGCACTGTATTTGCCTCATTAGTAACATAAGAATACCTATATCCTCAATAATCACTAACAAGTACCATTTATGCTCCTTCTTTGAGAGAGGACACTTGAAACAGTAAAGCATGTGTTACATATGCTACAGTTCCTCTTTGAATATTATCTCAGTGTCAATCACAAACACTTAAACAAAATTACTTTTCCCTGCAGTCCAGTTCCAGCATTATTTCCGAAAGCATGAGATTTGGCTGCAGAATTCAGTATTACTTTTGAAAGCATTTCCAGAGCGATTACACATGACAAAACTGTACAGCAACACTGCCACAAAAGTGATGGTACTTAAGAGTCCAGCATTTCCTGAAAGAAAGCATAGCAAAGCCAGAGAGGTATAAATTTATATTTGCTTCTGGACAGATCAAATGCCATGATCAACCTGAAACACTTAAAACAGCTTTTATTTCCAAGAAAGGTTACCCTACAGTTACTTCAGCATGTCTTGTTCCTCAAAAGTAAAACAACTTCACCTACAAAGAGAGGAAAATTGTCTGTATCTCTGGGATTAACCTACAAGAACTTCAAATTAGGTATAAAGAAGCTTAGATACAACTACTGAAGTCAAAGAAATCGTAACTTTCTTATACACTGTGTCAGTTACAAACGTGTTCTATACTACCTGTATCTGACAATTTACCACAAAAAACCTGCACACAACTTTGCAGTGTTATGCAAGGCTAGACAGTAATGAGATGGATATTGAAAATTAAGTATCAAAGCTCATACTTTAGGTTCAAATTGTCTCACAGAAGCATACTGTTGTCCCAATATCATTCAAAAGCAGCAAAACTAAGGAGGGATTACCTAAATTTTCAAAAGTTCTCAGCCAGTGGGGATAGAAGGGACTTCTAGTGAAGGGATTTCTAGTGAAATATTAAAAATGATGGTTTAATTGTTTCAATATGGTTTTTGAATTTCACAAGTCTCAGACATGCTTTTCTTACAAAAATCCTACTCCACTATTCTGGTAGAGGAAAGATAAAAAAAAAGGTGGATAGAGAGACCACTCACCTATCTTAGTATATCACAAAGTATTTCCAGCATATATTCTCACTCTACTGAGTCCTTAAAAGATAAATATTTGCACTCTATTTGTCTTGTCATCTAAAATAATCTCATTTATTACTTAGTAGGAGTATATACACATATCATCTTTCAAACATTATCTGTTGCAGTGCTGTGACTTTTGGGAGGTGGAGAGGGAAAAAAAAAAAGAGAGAAGATATGGAAGGTATTAGGAAACAGGATCACAACATCCTGCTGTCGTCTGGGGGAAGAAACATCTCTCAGACCTAAAAGTCCTACTGGAACAAGGAGATATCAAAACAACCGTGTCTCGCCTTCAACGTACAAGTGCTTTCCAAATTTTGATTCTGGCAGTGACTGACAGGGCTGGGAGGGGCAGGTTCCCAGGGAAGGCAGCGCTTCCCCCACGCAGGAACGCCCCCGCTGCCCGGGATTTCCTCGGGCACAGGAGCACAACTCCCGCTCCAGCCCGGCAGCCTTTGCAGATACAAAACAGGGGCTTGTAGGGTTACTTTTAATCCAGCACTGAGGCTCCCCTGCCTTCCCCTACGGGCACCGAGCTGCGAGCGAGGAGCCGCGCGGGTTTGGAAGCGCCGCCCTCCGCGCCGGCCCCGCTCCGCAGCTCCCGGGCCGGGAGGCTCCAGGACACGGCCCCGCAGCCCCCGGGCAGCTCCAGCGCCGCCGTGCTCCCCCCGCCGTGCCCGGAGGAGGAGAAGCTCCCCCCGTACTCACGGCCCCCGCCAGCCCCTCGGCTCCGCTCCGCGCTCCGTTGGCAACTCCCGCTGTCGCCACGCGGCCCCTTCCCCTTCCGGGCCGCGCTGCCGCTGCCGGGACTTGGAGTCCGGGGCGGGGCCGGGCAGTGCCCGAGGAGCTCAGCGAGGCTCCCGCCGGGAGCTGCGGTGCCCGGGACGCTGCTCCGCCCCGGGCGGGCGGCTGGGGCGGCACCATGAAGAGGAGAGCAGGGGAGCGGGAGAAAGAGCTGAAGGTACCTTCCGTTTGCTTCCCGCTCCCCGCAGCCCCGCGGAGCGTGCCCGCGGCCAGCCCTGTGCCCGCCGCCGGAGGGGCTGCTCGGGGCACAGCCCGCCGGGGCTCCGCCAGCTCCAGCGCCTGAGCCCCGAGCGGGGGCACAGCGAGGCCGCCGTGAAGTTCGCTGTGAGCAGGAAGCGGCCCCGGCGCCGAGCTCCGTGCGGGGTCACACAGCCCGGGGCGCGGCCCCGTGCGCTCGGCACCGCCCCGGGGCCGCCCGGGGGGAGCGCGGCCGGCGGCGGGGGCTGCCCGGGCAGGGCGGCGCTGCCCGACCTGGGCATCCTGCATCCCCCTCTGCCTTGAAAGAGGGGGCACCTAGGACAGCTTCAGCGGTAGCTAGTGGTAAAGGCTCGTGCCGCCTGGGCAAGGTATTTGAATTTTAAGGAGAGTTCTGTGGTTTGTGAAAAAGAAAAAAATATACAAGTTTGGTTTTGTCAAAACGTTCACAGTGGGGTGATGCACTATGTAACCGCGCTTTTATTTTTAAATTTGAAAGTACTCTACACCAAGCCTGACCTAAATAAACATTTTTAAGTCTGGTCTACCACCCGAGCTTTATAATGTTTGTTTTCTCGTTCATATATTTAGACGCAATGCTGTTACTTGCTTACATTGAAGATGGTATTACACTGTTTGTGAAAGCAAACAGCAGCGCTGAATGTTTTGCTGTTTCACGTGCCTTTGAAGGGCTTGTTTTACCACACTGTACAATATTTGCAACAATGTACAAAGGTTGTTGTACCTTTCCTGATTTTGTTTACAAAACAGTAGTACTGAGAAACAGTAAGTGACTGAAAGCACAATGCTGGTAATTAGTGATGTTAATGAAAGGAAGGTTAATTCCATTAGAAATTTAGAAAGAGCTTTCAAAAATGGTAATCGCATACACCTGAACAGGGACTGTGCTGGCTTTGGTATTGCTATTAATTTACTATTCAGCATTAAATGTTATTTCATTTTAGGGGCAGGGAACAAGTCTGATCTAACTTTGCAACTATTTTAGTATAAAACTTTAGAACCTGTTTGCAGTAGTAAGATTCCTAACAACTCTTTAAGGACTACCTGATCATTTTGTAATTAGTCTTTCTGCCAAGTTGCTCAAGGACAGCAACTTCAGGCTTACATTTGTATTCTGCCCTTTCCATAGATGTCAAAACATATGCAGATGTCCCATCCAATCTAATGTAAATATGTTGCAGAAGAAACCTCACCCCATACTTATTTTAGCCTGTACATTTGTGCTGCCCATCTGAGGGATGTCTTTTCGACAGGTCTCAAATGTATTTGGGAATGGTTTGCATTAGGAGAATAATTGCCTCTGATATGATAAGGATAAAGATTCAAGGATATGTGGAAGGAGTAAGAGGATGGTGCTGTGAACTACACTGGCAAAGGTTGTATGAGGACAAGGCACCTGAAGAGGTGTCAGGAACAATGTATAATAAAAACTCTATGCTAAAGTGAAAGAGTCCTGCCATAGACATGTGTAGATGTTACAGGTGCATAAACAAGAGAAGGATGAAAATTAACAAGATTCTTACAGAGAATTTAGAGGTGCCAATACTTACAGGATGCCTTAGGGGGACATTGTAAGTTGGGTACTACTTGAGAGGAGCTTTGAATATATTGAAAGTGAAACAAAATGAACATCTAGAACATTTTAGAATAAAGGCTGCCAAAGGGGAAAGCAGCAATGGGAAGAGGGGGTTGTGTGTACAGGAAGGAATGTATGCTTTTTTTTCATGGGATTTTATTGTAATAGTTCTGCCAAGACTTCCGTTTAGGTACTGATTAAAATATTTTGTAGCAAACCAAATATTAGTGAGGTTAACCCAACCTCTTCTGAAGATTTATGAGGCCTACTGATGAGAGGGAAGTGGTTGGATAGAGAAGCTGGTTTGGATTATGGATCTCCTGCCAATGTCTCTTGTTTTCTAGAATTAAATCTCAAATAAAAGTTCTTGTTTTGCTATAATTGTGTACAGTTAAATGCTGTCTATCAGAATCCCAGTGATTGGCTTTTGCTAATTATGCAGTATGTTTCTTATATATGATAAGCTGTTCTCTCTCTCAAATTTTCATGTGTATAGCAAGTTTTGGTTTATGTTGTTATAGAAGAACGTTTCTGTTCCAAGTACATGTGGTCAAAGTCCTTTAGAGTGCAGTGCTGTCATACAACAATTTCCTTCCAAAATACAACTTTGCAGATCACTCAATTGGGTTAAGATTAAATGTGTGGCAGAAATGAAATTGTTTATGCTAGTGTTTGGTGTTCCAAGCCCAAGGGGAGGAGGATGTAAATTCGTTCTTGGGAAGAGGGTCTGAAAAAACTTGGAAACCATAGCCAGGAGTTAATTACTCATCTGTCCTAAACACCATGTTGGGGATGCAAATGTCCTGTATAATATTTCTCTGAGTCTTAAGTAGACAGCGAAACACAATTACTCTGAAGTTTCTAAAGACACCTTTAGAGCTGTTGCATGCCATCCACTTCTCTGGTCTTACCTACAGCAAGAATTACTACTGTGCATAAAACCAGAGCTGTTAGAATAGATATTGTTCATTAGCTGGAAAGGCATTTTTATGAAATAGTCCATTGGAGTTTGTTCATGGTTGTTTGTTTTAACTTAAATTCAGCTTTAATTAACACAGTTTATAATTGTTTTTATTCTTTTTTTGTATACACTGTTAGTCAGAGTTGGTCACTTTTTTACTGGGTGTAGAAAAGGTACCACAAAACTAAGACCAAACATAAACCTCCCATTAGTAATTTAAGTACTGTATTAAAGACTATTTTCTCCTTTAGACTTGGGAAGAAAGCTGTTTTGCTTTTAGGATGTTTATTACCTTGATTGATATTCACAGGTGAGTTAAAAAAGTTAATCTTTAATATAAGACTGTTCTCAAGACTTACTTGGCCAAAGTGGTTTTTTTAAAGTAAGTTTCAGTGTGACAGAGGGCAAACTCTGCTGACTTCCTGTATGTGCTTCCTTTTGCCACTCTTTGCATATTAAGACCCTGAGTCGTTTCCATTTGAAAGAGAAGATACTCAATTAGTCTGGAGTATCATTTTCTGTCAAAGTAAAAGTATTACCTTGATGGGTCCTTGGAATAGGCCACTAAGCCCAGTTCACAATTACCTTATGTAGCTGTTTATGCTAATTCACAGTGGAACCAGAACTGACTGCAGAGAATGTATTTCACAGACATTACTGTTATGTTTGTACAGCTCCCAACACAGCTGGGACCCCAATCCAATAAAGTTATTGCTGTACAAATAATAAATGCATCAATATGCACATATCTGAATATTCACAAGGGCTTTTACAAAGTTATTCATGTGCAGTTTCACATTTGTGAGACATGTTAGACAAAGTGGCAAGGAAATATAAAGCTTTAAATAACACAAAGCTTTGTATGTATTTTATTTACAGGGACGAAAAGGGAACATACAGTCCTCTGGCTGAGATATCAAGGAAAGTCTTATTTCCTGCATCATTCTAATTTTTGCTGCCTGAAAAATAATATATATATTTACAAGAAAAAATAGGTTGCTTCAACATATTACGCTCAGGGAAAATTAGGCAAGTATTCTCAGAGCGTGATGAAGGGAATGGTTTTAGGATTAATGCTGGAAAATGTCACCCGTACCATACAATTAAGTATATAAACTTTAACGTTCTCTTATAATAGTTTGTTCAAATATTATGTTGATTTCTTGTTTCATTTTATCGTTCTACCTCTTAAAGAGACCCAAACAAAAAAAAAAAATTCTAATTGACAGATTAAACAGGTTCTTTTAGAAATTGTATTTAGGAAAATTAAAGTTAATGGAACATCTTAGATACAGTTAAATAAGCTTCTTGTTGTGTCATATTTCTGCTTAGGTAAATGGTGTGCAGGTTTTAGCAGAATCAGCAGCCAATATGCCAGTAGCAATTTTTGTGGTAATCACATTATTGGCCCTTTCCATTATAAATGAGACAATAATTAAGAAATACCGTTGATAGTCACATAACACATGATTTGTATATTGGAAATGGTCAGGTAGAAGCCTTGCATATGCAGAATAAAATACAAGAAAGAATGAGTGGCAAATGTTTCTTGCTTTTAAATTCATCACATTCCTGCTGTTTAAATTGCCTCAGCTGCTAATGCTGGAACCATTACAGTAATGGACTTGGCAAATGAAGGAGAACCAAGACATACACACTTTATTACTGGAGGGGTAATTTTCTCTTCATCTGTAATAGCAGCAGTGCCTAGTATTGATCAGACCATCAAGATACTAATCCTCTGTAAAATTACTTGTTATAACTGAAAATGTATTAATCCAAATCAGTCTGTGTCCTGACTTTCTACTTACTGTTGAATACAGACTATTAGATGGTTTATTTTTTGTGATTTAAAGCCTTTACACTGATAATAGTGGAGCTTCTTTTGCAAGAGTGCGTGCTTAATCTTAGCTATGGCCCAGGGTTGTCTTTTTGTTTTAACTAGAACATCACCCACTTAATTAAGAAGTGGATGTCTATCTTTCTGCTCGGAATTATATTGGTACTTTAGGCTCTGCAGATTTATTAAACATGTTGTTTTACATTCAGTCACTTGTTTTTGCTGTAAATAAGAACAGATCTGTGCTTCACATATTAGAATCTTCGAAGATCTTGGAGCTAAGGATGTGAGGAGAATGGCTAGTCAAAGCTGTAATTCATATTTTGTGGATTGTGGCCTGTGAGGGTGTTGTGTATGAGAGTAGTGTAAGAGGAGTCCAATGCCAGGGGTCTGGAGAACTTCAGTTTACTTTGATCTTAGTGATCCACTACATCAGACGGTGGTATGGAGAGCTGTGTGTGTTCTGTATCCGAATATGGGATGGCTCCTTTTTTCTCTCCCTTTCCCTTTCCATTTTCTTTCCTTTTTTTCTTTTCCCTTCCCTCATCTGTTTTTTAACAGTCT